CAGGTCGACCTAATTTGGTGACGAATGCGCTTTCGCGTTGCCGAAGCTATATATTTTCGCATGTCGTGATGGACCAGACTATGATGCGATACGTACAGCGTACGGTCCAGACGCAACATATGTTTATTGATTGAAAGCTTTGAGAAGCAAGGAAAATGAACACACAGATGTCGCATTATCGCAGCACACGGCTAGACGACTGCATGCCTATGCCTATCCCAAGGTTTGAAGTATTCTAGCACCGACCCCATGACACCCAGCATGCAGTGATACCTTACGATGAGGTGAGTATGCACGAAACACTCTTCGAGGTTCTTGATATTCTTTCGGGTACCATTTTGAAAGAGAAAAGACATACTTATCGGTGAAAGCTATTGCGGATGGATCGACATTTAAAAGTGGGTAAGTACATATGTGCGTACGTGTGAAGCATTTAAATGGTATGAAAATTTGCCCCATGCGGCGGCAGTTTTTGCTTGCCTACTGACCACCTTAGCAGAAACCTGACAGTCCTTGTGTATAGACTGTAATTAGGTCTTCATTAGGACACGTCTGGTAGAACCTATATTGTGTTCTTTGTGGACCGTCTGAGCAAGATAAGCATCTCGCTGCTGTCAGCGATTACTTGAACAGTGATGATACGGCCAAGCTGGCTGTCGATAAAGTGTTTCGCCAACATGGCTTGCCAGTACCCATTGTATTAGATTTTGCCTTGCGCTTTATCGCAAAGTTAAGGCGAGCGCCGTTATAGATACGTGAAAACAGAATCGACGTGCCAGTCGCTGGCCATCCGCGAACAAATGGTCAGGCACTTCATGTCGTGCAATGTAGAGGGTATGTGGGAAGACTGTGGTTTGAAGGGACTTTCTCCCACTGGTTGCTGATTGGGTTGCACTGAATAAAGAAATACATGCCTAGGTATGATTACTCTGTTTACATAAAAGATAAGTCAAGTCTCTGGGTGCTTTTGACGCCTCCACGATGCTAGTTGAACGATTTGGAGCTGTATGCACGGCGGGATGCGGAGAATTTTCAGCGTAACACTTGCCATACACTAGAGGATAGTGGTCGCTTTTAGCCATGTTTAGCTCGTGAAAATACTTAACGTTGCCGTGGTGCTGAAGCATCACCAGTCGATGGAAAAACGAGCGGGGTTCATGATTTGCGAAGCAGAAAGATCGCACGCTAAGCCCGGGCTCATTAAGTCATTTGGTTCGATGCACGTGAGCGAGACGGTGCAAGTTCGCTTAGAAAAGCAAACTCAAGTCACAGGATTGCTCGCAAAACGGCTACTTTTGCGTAGTGACTTAGCCAAGCAAATTGTCAGTGGACACAAGTTTGGATGGGAGTACCGTAGATATTCGCAATTGACCCTTTGATTTTAGGAAGAAAATCGTATAAGATACAGTTTGATACAACCGTTCGAATACCATGTTACACTTGGTGTGATTGTATATATTTTTGAGTATGGACAATTTTGGCATTTATGCAATTGACAGATCTCCAGATCGGAATACTAAGGTATATGTTAGGGCCTATCCGAACGTCAACAAATGAAAACAGTTGAATAGGAATGTTAGTCAAACGTATATATCAGTCCTAAAAGAAGTAGTTGTTATCATATGAAGTCTTAGAAAAGGAACGTAAACTAGGAGTGTGTGTTAAGGTCGATCCTGAAGGATCACTCGGATCCTGACTATCCTTTGGTAAAGGAATTTCTAAAGACCCGCCGTCGTTTCTACCTCCGAATAGAGGTAGATTGACCTGGTTTCGGGAGCAAATACTGCGTACCACGCCAATGGCCTCAACCCAAGGAGCTG